CTAAATATTCTATATTCTAAGTTGTTGTGCATGCATTCTTGTTTTAAGACATATTTACTATAGCTTTCACATCAAAACAAACCAAAAAACTCAGAACTGCAGCCTATAGAATGTGACTTTAATTCCTGATGTAATAAACTATTATTTTTTCTTGTTTTTTATGCATTTGTGTCATTAAATTTAAACAGCATAGCCAAACAACAGTAATAACTTGACTTCTAAGGGTTGAAGTGTGAAAGATGAAAAACCTAAATAGCATTGAAAAACTAATCGCTGCTGTCGGAACAAAACCTTCAAAATGGTAACTTTACAAGAGAAGGAAAAAACCTTCTTTACTTTTAATGTTAGTCAATGGAACCAGACTTGTTTTCAAGTCATTTTGGGTAATTTCTATTGGCCCATTCATCATAAAATTCACACACCAAGGACAGACATTTTCAAATTATTTCAAAATCTAAAAAAACGACAAAAATGGAGATATGCGTTTTTGTTCCAACAGCAGCATAATGCAAAAGTTGCTAACTCATTTCTGTCAAAAAAGTGACAATATATTAAAACATTAACTGACAAAAACTTTAAAATATTAAACTAATTGCTCACTGAAAAAACAGCTTTATCCAGTTTCCCTCCTTACCCCAAAAACAGTCACTCAGCTTTAGCTTCTTTAACACTGGAGCTATGAGGCTAATATAACAGAAGTCTATATCTCCAAAAACGATTGACATAATCTTCCATTTAGCCACAACTGTCTTGAGGCTCCTTTACAACACTCTAATCCAGGGGTGACCAGTCCTGTTCCTGGAGATCTACCACCCTCCAACACACCTGGCTGTAATATTCAGGTGCTCCTGACTCAGGTGTATTAGATCAGGGTTGGAGCTAAACTCTGCAGGGTGGTAGATCTCCAGGGCCAAGACTGGGCATCCCTGCTCTACACATTTACTGATTAGGTAACAGACCTGCTTATGTGCTCTTCTCATAAAGTAGAACATTCCAAATACCTATTGATCCTAAAATGCTGACAAGGCCAACTAAGTGAAATCAACTCTGATAACTGATATTGATACTGATAACTACTTGCACAATGCAGCATTCTGGCATGTATGTATCACACAAACACAAACAGTTGTAGTTGTGTATTGATCTCTGCACACTTCACATCTTTCTACAGCACATGACACCGATATTCTGAAGTCTAAGACGTGTGCTGGAAGGAATGTACTAACTGTACTTATACATGTGCGCATAATTTCCATACTAATATGACATCAGCACAGTTGTTTCCAAAAGTAAGTGAACTGAAGGACAAAACTATGTTGATGTAATTTATTTAATTCATGTGGAAATATGTGCATTCAATACAGCACTTTTTCAAGGAGGCGGAAAGACTAGCAGCTATTTGTTGCACTGAAACAACCTGTGTAACATGTAAATTAACAATACAACACACAATTTCCCAAAGCTCAGTAACCTCGCTCACACAGAGACAGCCATCCGATCTGTTAGACCCCAAGGACACTCAATCTGATTACTACAGCCCCTTATTACATTACATACAACACAGAGAGAGAGAGAGAGAGAGAGAGAGAGAGAGAGAGAGAGAGAGGGGAAAGAGAGAGAGAGAGGGAAAGAGAGAGAGAGAGAAAGAGAAAGAGAATGAGAGCATGAGAGAGTTAAAAAGAGAGAAAAACAGAAAAAATAGAAAAGAAGAGACAGTGAGAAAGGAACAGGGAGAGAGAGATGTAAAAAAGAAAAGAACAGAAAAATTCAAATGAAGAGAAAGAGAGAAACAGAGAGAGATAAAAGGAGAGAGGAGAGAGAGCATGAGAGATAAAAAGAGAGAAAGGAACAGAGAGTGAGAAAGAGAAAACAGAGAAAGAGAGAGACAGAAGGAGAGAAAGAGAATATGAGAAAGTTAAAACGAGAGAAAAGACAGTGAGAAAGAGAATTACACAGAGAGAAAGGAGAGAGAGAGAGAGAGAGAGAGAGAGAGAGAGAGAGAGAGAGAGAGAGAGAGAAAGAGAGAGGGAGCAAAACAGAACAAGAGAGAGAGAAAAAGAGAGAGACAGAGTTAGATAAAGAAACAGAGAAAGAATGAGAGAGAAAGACAGATGATAAGAGAAGGACTTACACACAGACAAATCATGAGAAAAACATGACATGAAAATAGAAAAGAGGGCAAGAGAGAAAGGCAGAGTGAAAGAGGGGGAGAAAGAGAAAGAGAAACACAGAGAGAAAAAAACATTAAAAAAGAGCAAAACAGAATAAGAGTGAAAGAGGAAGAAAGAAAGAGCCAGAGAAAGTTACAAAGAAAAGAAAGAAAGAATGAAAGAAAGAAAAATATGAAGTGAGAAAGAAAGAAAGAAAGAAAGAAAGACAGAAGAAAGAAATACAGACAGATGATAAGAGAAAGAATTAGTGAGAGAGAAATCATGAGAGAGAAAGAAAGAAAAAGAGAAAGAGAAAATGAGAGAGAGAGAGAGAAAGAGAAAAGGAGAGAGAGAGAGAGAGAGAGAGAGAGAGAGAGAGATTAAAGCTTTCTTTTCTCCTCCTCTGCCTCCAGCAGTTCTTGGTAAACTGCTGAATAGTCTTTCCAGTTTATCTTAAAGTCAAATCAATCAGTGAACCCAGTACAAAGATGACAGAAAAGAGTTCAGGCCTGATCAGTTCGGGCGTCTGTTTTCACAGTGCACGTCCTCTTTGTTAATATCACCTTTAACCCATAAAATACTCATAACCCTAATTCAATGATGTCACATAGTTAATTCAGTGAAAAGGAGCAGAGTCAGCTACTGTCTTTGACTCTCTGTATAAAATTCTGTATGCAAAGTGCAAATAATAACAGATCGTCAGTTTGCAAGTCACACCACATCCCCTTGGTTCATTTTTTTCGAGGGTTGGTTGTTGTGCATTGTGCACTAGTTTTGTTCAAATCAGTGAAATTAAAGAAATAAACCAGCCACTCTAATCAGTAGATCCATTTTCACTTCTCGTTATTTTAGTGCAGATTTAATCCAGCCCAGTGAACACTGTATGAGAATAAAGCAAATTAAAGCAAATTAGAGCCATCTGCAGAAACCCATCAGACAGGAAGACCACCCAACTAAAAACTCCATTGCTCCATTCAACACAACAACATCAAGCCATTCCTTAAGTAGCTGTCACATTTTTTAATCACTACTGGAATATGAAACTGAATAAAGGAAGAAATAAGTCTATCATATAAGTCTTTAAATAAGTCAGAAAACAAGTCCAATCCAGTCAATAAAAATGAGATAATAATGTAAATGATAAATAAGCCAGTAAAAAAGCAAACAAATCAGTAGATCAGAAAGCTTGTAAAATATCAGTAAATACATCAGTAAATAGATGAATAACTCAGGAAATATGCCAGTAAATAAGTCAAAAGTCAATAAATAAGTATATACGTCAACAAGTATGTCAGCAAATAAATCAGTAAGCAAGTCAGTTTAAGTCAGTTTAAGTTACTGTGTAACTAAGTAAATATGTTAGTAAATAAATAAATAAATAAGCCAGCATAAACAACAATAAATAGGTAAATAACTCATTAAAAAAGTCAATAAATAATGATTATATCATTTAATAAGCCAGATAAATACATAAGTATATATATATATATATATATAATAGATATTCTTGGTAAATGAGTAAATAAGTCAGTACATAAGTAAATCAGTCAGTTGGTGTGTTACAAAATCTGTCAATAAATAAGCCCACAAGTTAGTCAATACATGTTTCATACATCAACGGCCAGTAAATAAAGTAAATATATCAATAAATAACGAAATAAACAAACAAGAAAGTAAACAAGAAAGTAAACAAGTGAGTAAATAAAGCAGTGAACATTTCAGTATGTCTGAAAGTAAGTCAGTATATAAGCCAGTGAATAAGTTACAAAGTGAATATGTGAATGTGTTAGTAAATACATCGAATAACAAGACAGGCAATTATTAAAGAAGTCAATTCAGTAAATACACTAGCAAATATGCCAGCAAACAAGTCAGTAAATAAATAATTAGTAAATAAGTCTGAATAAAGGCCAAGTAAAAAAAGTAAACAAATCAACAAGTTAACAAGTCAGTAAACAAGTCAGCACATAGGCTAAGTAAATACACCAATAAAGGGCCAGTAAAGAGTAAACAAATCAGCAAATAAACAAGTAAACAGGTCAGTAAAAAGTTAACGCATAAGCCAGTAAACAAGCCATTAAATAAGTAAATAAATGTGATTCAGCTTGATGATTCAATGATCACAATTCAAAACGAAACAGGAAACACAGTGTGTGTGTGTGTGTGTGTGTGTGTGTGTGTTTGTGTGTGTGTGTGTTGTGTGTGTTCATCAGAAGTAGAGGACACCGACCGGACATACACACACATACACACACACACAGAGGCAGGTTTTGTGTGTTGTTATATGAGTTGTTTTGGCTACTTTGCTGCGGTGTGAAAGTGAAACGAGTCGAGCGGAGCATTTCGGGAAAAAATAAATAAATAAACGAGAGGTGAGAATATCGCTCAGTTTAAACAAATAGGAGAAACATTTGGCTAATGCTGCTGCTGTTGTTGCTGTTGTTGTTGAGGGAGGTTTCACATCGCCTCTCAGCACGAATCGACATTCTGACGGTTTTTCTCATTGATGAGCGATAAACAAACTCCAGTCAAAGTGCAGCTGCACTGAGCTGAGAGCGGCACTGCGCTCGCGCCCAGCAGCTCTGACACCCCACACAACCAGGCAACAACAACAACAACAACAACAACAACAACAACAATAATAATAATAAAAATAATAACAATAATAATAATAGTAATGATAATGAACCCACACACAGTCAGAGGAGGGTGTGTAGTGTGTGTTTAAGGTGTGTTTGTCCACAGCGCGCGCGTGTATTGTGTGTTTGTGTACAGAGTGGTTGTGCATGGCGTGTGTGTGTACAGTAAATGTGTGTGTGTATATGTGTGTGTGTGTGTGTGCATGTGTACCTGCCCGGGTCTCCCGCTCCCTCCGGGCCGCTCGCGCAGCTCCTCCGTCCAATATGGCATCCCGCGCGTGCGCATGTGTCGCGCCGCTGCGCTTTAACAGCACTCGTAGAAAAAAAGAGAAAGAGAGAGCGAGCGAGAGAAAGAGAGAGAGGCTGGACCAGCCAATAAGAAAGAGAGAGAGAGGAGCAGCCTCCTCCTCTCGCTCCTCCTCCTCTCCCTCCTCCTCCTCCTCCTCCCATCATGCGGGAAACTCGTCTTTTCCTGCTGTGTGTAAACAACAACCTGGAGCTTTTTATTTCTCATCATTACACTGTCACTGAGGCACTAAACACATTATTATTATTATTATTATTGTTATTATTATTATTATTATTATTATTATTATTATTATTATCTGTCTGTCTTTCTTAAAAGAGGCTTTAATATTGAATCACGTTGCTACTTTGTTTGCATTCTAACAATTCATTTAAATAGGCCTTAGTAGTAGTATTTTCTTATTCTTGTTGATGATTTTAAATATTATGTATGTGTGTATCTTTATCTCTGTAGAATATTTTTCAAATCTATCTATCTATCTATCTATCTATCTATCTATCTATCTATCTATCTATCTATCTATCTATCTATCGATCTGTCAGTCTGTCTATGTACATGGTTAGAATGAAAGGTTCTGTGCAGGTACATTTTTTGTTCATTAAGGTACAAACAACGTAAATGTACCATAAGAGGTACAACAATAAGGTCCAAGTGTGTATCTTAAATAGGTTTTACCCAGGTGAAAAGTACATATTTGTACCTTTTCATAACCTAATATTTTAAAACAGAACAATAAAATAAAAAGCCTGGAGACGAGGCGGGGCACATAAAGTCCGTACAACTTTGAATATATAACTGCAACAGATCATGGTACGATTACATTCCCTAACTAAAGGTATTAAAGGCGTACCATTAAGGGTACCACCTCAGCGACAAGAGGGGTACCAGTGGCAGTTTAGTCTGTCTGTCTGGCTTTTTCTTTTAGCTGATTTATCTTTTATATGTGTCTGTTTATCTATCTGTCTATCTATCTATCCATCTGTCTGTCTGTCTGTCAGTTTGTATCTATCTATCTATCTAGCTGAATAATCTTTTATATGTGTGTAGGTTATCTATCGATTACTCCCAAGAATCTTTTCCAAATCTATCTATCTATCTATCTATCTATCTATCTATCTATCTATCTATCTATCTATCTACCTATCTATCTACCTACCTACCTACCTATCTTGTCCTTTCTATGCCCATCTTTTCTAAAGCTAGGCACCAGTGATGTCCAATTGCAGCCCAATGTTGCTGTAAATTTGTAATCAGACATTGCAACATGTGAACACGTGAAAGAGAGAGAGAGAGAGAGAGAGAGAGAGAGAGAGAGAGAGAGAGAGAGAGAGAGAGTCAAAGTCCGAGCCTCAGTTTCCACTCATGAGGGAGGACTGTTTTAGTCATTCAAAACAAAAGTCTTTCCTGTACGCTTGTTCTCATGAAAGGGACAAAAACTTTGTAAAATGGCGGCAAAGCCCATGCAATGTCCAAATAAAACATCAGACCTGAATCTCTCTATAGCACACCTATACATACTGTCTATGTATGTATACTGTAAATAACAGAAGTGAAATAAATGTATGTTTTAAATGTCCAATTTGACCAATTTTCCAGCTGAGTTGTTGGATGTTGCCCTCTAGCGGCCAAGAGCATGCACTGCAGCCTGTGGCTGAATTATGATTATTAGGCTTCGATAAGCAGCCACGACCCGTTTGTCTGTCTGCGGAGTGTAATTGATTCAGATGGTGTACACAGTGGAGTCAAGCAAATTCAGTGTGGAGACACACTGCGCGTGCGCCGAGGTCAGCTCAGCACACTGTGGAGGGCGATGTAACAACTGCTCACCTTCACCTGCGAGCCAGATCACAGTGCACTTAACATCTGATGACCTCGCAAACATCTCCGGCCGGCTAATCACAGGATACCGCGATGATGTTGCAGTAACAGATGGCTCGTGCCTTGTGCTTAATCTATGAGACGAGGCTGCGTGTCGAGCGCGTGCAGGAGACGGATTACTCCGCTGGTGGTGACCTTGCTGGGTGCCAGTCTATTGGCTAATGCTGGCCTGGTTATTCTGCTCCAGGAGAGCCACACAGCAACGAACAAACGCTGGACTATTATTAAAGCCTGTTTCCACCAGAAAAAAGAAAATATCGATGGTTTTTGCTTCTCTGTTCTAATCGCAGTCAGATTTCTGATTTAAGTGGAAAGTTTGATCTCTAAATTGGGAGTTATTTATAGAGAATCTGAATTACCATGTGAAATAATGACTTATCTAAATTTATTTCAACTTATTAATTCAAAACAATTACTTATTTTCTCAAGATTTTGAACAATGTATAAATAATTCATTATTGTGTTGGACTTTCGACTCATTACATCGAAATGGTGAGTTTTTTAGGGGAGGTTGACTTATTTTTTCAAAATACTTATTTTATGTAAATTAATATAAACTTATTATGTAAAAAAAAACAACTAAATTTTCCTATATTTTGATTTTCTATCTTAAAATTATGACTTATTTTCTCAAGATTTTATCTTTTGACTGTTGAAATAATGACATTTTCTTCAGATTTTGTCTTATTATGTTGAAATAATGACAAATGTTCTTGAGATTTTGACTTCTCTTAAAATAGTTACTTATTTTATTGTTATATCTCATAACGTTGAAATGTATACTTATTTTCTGGGGATTTTGACTTATTGTGTCAAAATAACTATATTCTTACGATTTTGAATTATGTCCAAATAATTACTTATTTTATTGATTTTTTGACTTATTATGTCCAAATAGTTACTTATTTTCTCAAGATTTTGACTTATTATGTTGAAATAATTTATTTTATTGAAATTTCAACATACAATGCTTCAATAATGGCTTGTTTTCTTGAAAAGTTTGACTTAATATCTCAAGACTTTGCACTGATTATGTCAATATAATGTGTTCTTTTGTAGCAACTGTTGCTATGTTGGCCCAGGTTCACAGAACATTGATAAAATCCCATTCAGCCTTATGAGAAACTGTCAGACCCATACAAAACAAGCAAAATAAGTAATTTGAAAGTAGTAATAAACTCTGAAAAATAGCTCAATAGAGTGATAGACTAGTGTGCAGTCTATTCAAATGTTCACAGGTCATGTTTACCTACACCTACATGACATCATCAGCTAAAGATGAAGTCTTTCTGGAGCTCAATCAGACGCATAAGAGGTTAAAAAATGAAACTGTGCAGTAGGGAAGGATCTACAGGGAAACACTGCTGTTCACGTTTAGAGAAAAATGCCTGGGGATGAATGATTTTGGAGGGATGTTGTGAGTCATATGAAGTTTTTTACATTTTTGACTGGTCTTATGAATTAGACTGACATGGTCTCATAAGTTCATAGACGAGAGCTTCGCCTTTAACATACAGTTACTCAACAAAATCTAAAGTTTCAAATCTCAAGCTAAATGTAAGCTAAAAGCACTTTAAATTTAGCTTTAAATTGCATTCAGTAAGCACGTGAAACGTGAAAAAGTGTTGAGTAATGTAAAATGTAAATGTGAAATGATCTGACATACCACTGAGTTCTGAAAGTAAAAGTGAAGCTGTGTGTGCTTCCAGCACTTAAGTGTTTCTGGGCTTCATTTTTTGACACAGTTGACAAACAGGCTACAACTGGTTTACACAACCTGATCTGCTACGTTTCATTTCAAAGAAACCAACTACTGGTATCGTTACAGTAGTGTCTGCTTTTGAACCACATGCCAATATAAACAGTCCTGATTCAGCGGGAGCTGACTACTGTTTATGCTCTTTTCACAACCAGCGCTTTCCCAAAACTTCACACTCTGTCCAATCGCAATCTATGTACTAATACGGTTACTCATTCTGACCCCTCAGCAGTCACTCTGTTTCCATTACGCTGTATTCAAGACTGCATTTTCAGTGTTAATCCTTCAAACTCTTTCTCCATCATATTACCTGCTATAATATATATATATATATATATATATATATATATATATATATATATATATATATATATATATACACACACATGCATTAAACATGTGTGTGTATGTGTGTGAATGTAAATGGGGCTTAAAATATGTAAAAGTACATAGTAATTACTGCATAATTTTAAAAAGTATATGGTACTTAATACTGTATAATATTTAAAAGCATGTGATAATACGGTATAATATAGAAAGTATATAGTACTTAGCACTGTATAATACATAAAAGTAGATGGCAATTCTTATTGTGTAATATATAAAATTGTATGCTTTATACTGTACTATATACAAATGTATATGATACTTAATACTATAGAACATTTAAGTGTATGCTACTTAATAATGTATATTAACTACTGTACATCATATAAAATTATATGTACGACATAAAAATACTGCTTAATAAAAATATATATAATCAATATGATATTCTACATATGCTGCATTTTTTTCATATTGCTTTTTCTTAGAATAAGAGCCTTTCTCAGAATGACCTTGACTCTCTGAGTGCCAACTCAGTGTAAACTCAGTGATAACCCTGGCCTGTGATTAATGTTTGGCCCCCAGGGTCTCTATCCCATAATAACCGATACAGACTCCTCCTCTATACTTCCTCTCATCTCCATAGCAACAGAGCATCCTTATCACATGATGGTCCTTTAAACTGGTCTTCAGCCTAAGGGTCTGGTTGAGAAAAGTTCTACTTGTTATTTAGCTATGATACGTCTATTGATTAGATAATGACAAGCAGAAGTACTAAATAAACTGAGCTGGACTGTTAAAAGAGCTTTGAAGTGCTTCAACAAAAGACTTCTATAACACGCTTTTGGAAATGATTGTTGTTTGATTAACATATGTTAAAAATCTGCTTCTTATTAGTTTTGTATGAATAATGTGTGTTTATATTCCATTGTATTTATATTTAATTGTGTTTATATTATGTTATGCACAGTAATTCACAAGCTAAAAGACAGTAAGCCCGTGACCTCTGACCTTT